GTCCAGTGGTTAAGACTTCGCCTTCCACTGCAGGGGGTGTGGGTTCAATCCCTGGTCGGGGAGCTAAATTCCCACATGCCTCAGGGCCAAAAAACCAAAACATAAAACAGAAGCAGTATTGTAACAAATTTAATAAAGACTTTAAAAAAAAAAAGGTCCACATCAAAAAAATCTTAAAAAAAAAGACTTGCAGAGGTTAAACAATTTGCCCAAGGCCACAGTGGTGATACATAATAGAGCCGGAATTCAACCCCAGGAATCTCTGACTGCCAAATGGTTGTTCTTAACCACTGAGTTAGGCGATGTTCTGTCCTCTCCTTTGGCTCCCTCAATCCCTCCAGGAATGTAACTTTCTACTTCCTCTCCTGCGCACAGTTTCAACGCAATCACACATTCATGCATTGGAGCCCTGGGCACAATGAAACACACGTTTCAGTGCTTCCTGTTCTTGTTTTCAAATTGCCCAAGAATTAAGTGGATTACTGCTGTCATATCTTAGTGTCTGGACTGAACAAGGGTTGGTTCAGTTCCTATTTCTTTTGCAGCTGCTACACCTTGTGAGTTAATCAAAGTTTATTACACTTCACCAAGGAGCAATATGTGACACAGGACAGTGTCCTAGACCACAAGTCAATAGACTGACTATTTTCCTTGGTTTCTCATTCTTGCTTTTCCATTAACCAGCTGTTTGACCTTGGGCAATCACTTAACCACTCTGACCCTCAGCTGCCTCATCTATAAAATAAACACAGTCTTAAGGTCCCCTTCCAGTGCGAACTGTCCATGATTCTGAAGAGCAAGGATCAAGTTTATTATTTTATGGGAACTTGAACTGTGCTTCTTCAAGTACCAACTCTTGTTTGAGCTCTACCTGTATCTCACTCCTAGATTTACATCTAGGGATAAGCATAAGCGAAACTTTCACAAAAGGATGAGAAAGTACAGATAATAATAACTTCATCTTATTGGTATTTGGAGGAACATGACTAAAAAGATGGAATTGTTTTCAGGAAGGATCTACATAATATTCTATAAAGAAATATAATAATTGTTATAAAAAGATTTTATCACGTTGGCTAAGACGTGGAGGGAAGGAAGTCATCTGATAAGAGGGCTTCCCACAGGAGAATTATCTTGTGCCATTTGAAACTCTTTACTATCATCCTTTCTTTAAAATCTTTTCTGGCATTTGGTGATCTTACTGTGCATATGGCTGTGACTCCTACTTTTCTGAGTGTAAATTCTTTATTTACTGATTTTGTTATTTCTCTTACATGATATTGACCCTACTCAGATGTTTTATTATCCTTAGGCGGGGACGCATGACTCAGACCTGTACAATCAGAATATTGCATATCCCTGGCTAGACTGTTTATCTGAGGGATAAATACGTGACTCAGCAGAACCAGTGGATCCCCAACAGAACCTCAGGACAATGACAGAAACTATCAGGAAAGATAAGCTCCCTTTTCAAAGCAGTTGCTGAGATATGGAGTATGTATATGCTATGGGCTGCTGGGAACCATCTTGCCATTATGTAAGAAGAGCTTATCTGAGATTGAGGCTAACGCAGAGAAAGCAAAGTCTAGAGATGCAGAGAAACAGGATTCCTGATTATATTGTTTGAGTACCTGGATCCCCAAAGTCTACTCCCTGGATTATCAGTAATAGAGCCAATAAATTCCATTTCTTTTTTATTTTTAAGCTGAAGCCATTTTAAATCATAATTTGTCACTTGCAACTGAAACTAATCAAACTAGAATCTGTGAACCTGTACAGAAAGCCCATGGTTCCCTACTTCTTCACATCAGTAGATGCCCAAGGGGCCTTTCTAAAATTGAGCCTATTGTGTGCCGCAGGAAAAGAAGGTAGAGTGTTATCATATCTTATCTGACTTTCATTTTATATGCTGACCCCCATGAAAGATGTAACTTCACAATCCTATTTAATTCTCACAGCAGCAAACACATTTATTAACATTTATTAATGTTAAGGCTTAATGTAAAAACAAAATGGCACAAACCCTGCAGGTAAGTAGGGACCATGGTGGCTGGGGGCACTTCAGCATTCCTCTCTTTCTCTCTCCTTGTGGAACTTTTTGGATCCCTCTAAGGTCTGTGAGAGACAAGGGGTGTGTGTGTGTGTGTTGGGGGAGGAGGAGGGAGTTGTATAGTTAATTACCAGAGCTATAAAAGGCCTTCTCTAAGCTCATTTCTTCTCTTATAAAGGCCACCCCACGCTGGGCACTAGTGGGCTGTCTTCTCCCAAAGGTCCAGGCAGAGCCAACACTTCCTCCTCCCCGCTCAGCCCCACCCTCATTGGTTTTCATAAGTTCCCTACTCACCTTTTCCCTCTGAATTCTCCCTCCCTCCAGTCTGGGAATTTGTCTGCATATGGTGAGAAGGCTTTTTTTTTTTTTTTTTTTCTAGTAGAATATATGCTATCATTCTTAACTTTGTGGTCCGTGGTCTATTCCCCAAATCTTCATATGCAAAGTCAACCTTTCAAGAAAGAAAAGAAAAAAAAAAAAAAAAGACATGCATCTTTTCAGTAAAGCAGCTGGCTTTTGCAAATAACAAATACTCCAGCTTTCAGACCGTAATGCTTTTATTATAACTTTAACAATTAATTTTGAAATCCAGGCTCCATTTGCACCCCCTTCAAGGCAGTGAAGCCCGTGGGTGGAAGGCTACAGGGCAAAAAGAAAAACAGTGAGAAAATTCTTGGATTAAAATGTACAAATATCATCTAGGTACGTAATCTTAGATTCTTTTACTTGCTACCTCCCCCTTCTTTTGCCAAAGAATTCATGAAAAGAAAAACCATGAAGTTTCTCCAGTCTTTTAAAGTGCCAGGTTTAGGACATGGAAGCAACCTAAGGGTCCATCGACAGGTGAATGAATAAAGAAGATGTGGCACATATATGGAATGTGTGGCACAATGGAATATTACTCAGCTATAAAAAGGAAGAAATTGAGTTATTTGTAGTGAGGTGGATGGACCTAGAGTCTGTCATACAGAGTGAAGTAAGTCAGAAAGAGAAAAATGAATACCATATGCTAACACATATATATGGAATCTAAAAAAAAAAAGGTTCTGAAAAACCTAGGGGCAGGACAGGAATAAAGACACAGATGTAGAGAATGGACTTGAGGACATGGGGACAGGGAAGGGTAAGCTGGGAAGAAGTGAGAGAGTGGCATGGACATATATACACTACCAAATGTAAAACAGATGGCTAGTGGGAAGCAGCCACATAGCCCAGGGAGATCAGCTCGGTGCTTTGTGACCACCTAGAGGGGTGGGATAGGGAGGGTGGGAGGGAGATGCAAGAGGGAGAGGATATGGGGATATTTGTATACATATAGCTGATTCACTTTGTTATACAGCAGAAACTAACACAACATTGTAAAGCAATTATACTTCAATAAAGATGTTAAAAAATAAATAAAGTGCCAGATTTCCACTTCTTTTCACCCCTCTAAAGTTTTGGGGAAAAAGAGGAAAGAAGAGCAAAACTAGAAGCAAAATCGTAAGCTTAAAAAATTTCTGTGCCTCTGTTTTCATGCACTTTCATTGGGCACGACAGGAAAATGGGCTCTACTATTTTCACACAATAGTTGAATTTTGCTTGTTCCAGCATGTATATAAATTACCTGGCTTTTTGTTAATCCCATCTAAGTGACCATTCCTTTTTTACCTTGTTTGATTATTCTGATTTATTTTAAAATCAGAATCCACATTTAGTGAGAGGAAAATTTTTATTTCGTAATTTATCATTCTTGTCACTTATATAAGTGACAAGAATGATAAATTATAAGTATCACTTATTTTAACTTATTATTAAATTTTATTAATCATAAAATACCCAAACACCTAATATTGGAAACATAACAATAAGCAAGCCAGCAGGTATGTTTTAAGTGTGGACATTCTAAAATGGAAAAAATGCAAAGAAAAATATAGCTCTAAGAGGGGAAGTTTAGGGGCGTGTAGACAAATGCACTTTTCCAAACCGCCTCCTGGATATCCGTCCAGCTAGGGGTTACAGTTTGTTAATTTAAGGAAATACGACGGAGACCGAAGGTACTGGCGCAGCGTTTATGTTACTGACCAAATATCCAGCCTAGAGGAAGCAGTACTGCCCGGGTTGAACTGCGGAAACCAAACCCAAGTCTGCGGGGTCAGGAGTATTTTGAAAGACTGGGCTCCACAAGGCAACATCGAACTGGATTAAACGTTATCATTTACCTTTATTATTAGTATAATATTTTAAAGCCAATATACACCTGAACATTCCTAAATGCCCCGAGACTGGACGGCCTCAGAATGCCTCGTTTGTCTACATTCGATTTTCTGCATAATCAGAAAAAATGGAGGCGAGCTTTGTTTACTTTGGCCCCTCTCGAAACCAGCGCCCTCGAGCCGAGGCGCCCAGACCTCGCGGCCGGATGGCGGCTCGAGTCCGCGGGGACGCGCGCGGCACGCGAGGACTCAGCCGGCCCCACCCGGCTGCCCCGAGCCCGCTGTCCTCCGCCGACCC